GTAATCTAAAATTCATCGTTCCTTAAATTATTTATTTGTTATGAAAGATGAACAAAATTATTCTGGATAGAATTAAATAAAAAATTGATTGTTACTAAATGGAATTCGGAAAAAAGTATATAAAATATAAAAATTCGCAACCTTTCAAATATATACGAAAAAAAAACATTCAAAACAAAGAAATAAGTATACAAAGACCCTGCAAATAATTAAACAAATGCAACCAGCTTTTATGGCACAAACACTGAACTATATTCAACTCTATTTTCATTATACTTGTCACGAATCACTTCAATAAATAAATAATATTGCATGAATATCACAAAATTAAGCATGGAATGAGTAGACAATCTAATAAAAAAATATATAATGTAAAAATATATAATATCTATTGATATTGTGTATTTTTTGATACATACGTCTTTCTAGTAATTAAAAGGTCGAAAAACGTCCTTTATGAATTTCTTACCAATGATTGATATCAATTATCAGTAAGCCAATTCATTTCATTTAGTCACTGATTAGGCTCTCAGTGATTCAAACATAAATTTCATACGGTTTATAAAGCAGGTAGTACATACAAACATACAAACATTAATAAATAAGTAATAACACGTTTGGCAATGGAAACATATAGTCTTTTTCAAAGAATAAGTTAGTAACAAGAAAAATTCTGTTATATTCAATTATTCATTCAAATTCTAAAATATAGAATTTTCTCTTTATACGTATTCATATTTACAATCAGAGAAAAATAAATCTCATCTAATAACCTTAACAAGAAACTAGAATTATGGAATTTAATTAGTATGACAATTAATTTTTTCATGATGCACGAATCTTAAAATATCTGCCACCAAAGATGATATTTCTTCATCATTTTGGTCGAAGTTTAAAATTCAAGGATTTAAACTCTTTGAAAACCTAGCGCATAAACTTTAAGAAGCTAGGTTCAGTTCAATAATCCAAATTTCGGATGTCCAAATCATTTTCATAGGTGCTCCTTGGTAAAATGTACCAGCTGTAACAAATAACTGCGTTTCTGGTGAGATCTGATATAACCCATAATAATAGGGTAGCATCCAATAAGCAATCGGCGCAACCGTATAGAACTGTCCTGCATGTGTATGTCCTGGAAAAATTTTTCTATTTACTAATGAAATGACACAAACATGCTTTTCAGTGATAAATCCAATGTATAACTAATGTATATTTTCGTCGTTGCAACCAATGGAAGAGAATAATCTATGTATTATTATTTAGTGAAATACTCCCAATCATCTCTATATAGATTAAAAAAATATAAATAACCTGACAAAATGAGGTCAACACGTAAATGCGCATCATTAAAAGCAATTTCTTTGGCCGAAGCTGGATTATGCGAAAGTACGATGGTTGTACTATTCTTAGGACAATCTTTTAGTGCTTCTACCGGTTGAAAGAAATGATCAGGCAATCTATAAGAAGATCCTAAATTTTGAAACTTGTTTTAGTTGAAATCCCTCATCCAGTAATTCGATAAATGAATGTGAATGATTATTTTGATATTTGGTCTGCATTTCGTCCAGGAAGTTAATATGTATTCAACATAACGATGTGAAAATGCCAGAAAATTCAAGCCAACTTACCCGCTTTGTCCACTCGAATAATCACTCACACCAGCCACACAAATACCACGAAAAAGCACATGCCTTGAATAGTAAAATTTAACATGTTTCGACTTATATAAGTTATTAGATTGTGAAAGAAAAATTTAGTATTTCCTCGCTCAAGTTAAAGACTTGTATTTGAAATACGAAATTACTAGGAACAAAAAAGAGTAAGATTTACATGCTAATACAATGTTTTACGTTTGAATAACTTTTAGGTAATACAAACAATGCATTATCAACTAGTTTAATTCTTTCCATCTCTTGAACCGAATCGTCAAAGAACTGCATAAACAGACCTGTTATTTAAGACTTCAAATCCATACTGTTGAAATAAATCAAACCACTCCGAAGGATTACCATAATAGTACTCGTGATTCCCACTTACATAAAATGTTCTCGGCTTCAAAAACCTTAAAAAGTTTTACTTACACGATGTGTTGAAGCCTTCGTGCTTAAAAATTATTTATCCGGATGTTCGTTATTTGCCGGAAAAGTTTATCAAATAAGTCTTAATGTATTGTATAAAAATAAACTCGCTAAAAACAATCTTCATAAATTTGTTGATTAAATTATTTGAAATTATTATCCATCAATGAAAGTTGTTGCCATTCAGAATAAACAGTTCTCCATTTGCGAGTACCATATTGGGGTAACTCAATAAATTTAATATTAAATTCTCATGTAAACGGTGTTGATCTTTTTAGTAAACCCACAGAGTAAGCCATCAAATGATTCCATTAGACGAAATCACTCATAATGCTATTAATTCCAAAGATAACTGATTGGAAAAACATCAACAATTATAAATTGAGTAAATGGGAATCAAAGTTATAACTTAATTTTTATAAGCAAAAATTAATTTTTTCATCCTCGCAATTATCCAAAGAAAGTCTTATGTTGACTTTTAATATTTCACGATATAAATTGCATATATTTTTACCGCAGCGGTCTCACATGATTTTCTATGGAATCTCTTGGAGCATCTACAACATCACCAACAACAAATACAGCGTCAACTGCCTGACTGTTCACTCGATTCACAACCTACAAAGTCCTTATTGAGCAAAATTTATCATTTATGCAATATAGCATTTTTAAAGCAGATTATAAGTAAAAAAAAAAGGAATTCATGGGGAAAAAATAAATATAGTAGCAAAATCAAAAACGTTGATTTTTTCGCCTGGTAAAAAAACATCCCACTAAATATGGATACTTAAAACATCGCAAAAGTGGATGAATCAAAATGGAATCAAGAACACTACTTCTTCTAGTTGTTCCTTGAATACTGTTGGACCTGCATGGATATCCGATATGAGAGCAAATCGAACACCTTTTGCATCATCGGGTAAATTTTTTATATTCAGTGATATATTCTGCAACATTCTTGATAATTAAAATCAAATTTATGAACATAACAAAGGCACACTATGTATCAAACCTGAAGTGAAGTAAAAAAAAACAAAATTAAAATTTTAGTTGTCGGGCAAAGAAAAAAGGAAGAGCATTATGCAGTGAATTAAAACAAAGTGATAAAAAGCAGAACTAACTTTGATAATTAGTGTGTCACTGGAAATGTATGAAAAGAAACATAAAAAAACAGCGACCAGTAATGTGAATGCGGTTTGCACATTTTTATTAAAACAAAATGCTTCCAAAACGGAAAACTTGGATAAGTATTTACTGATGAATGGATAACAGACAGTTATTGCCTAAAATATATTCCTCTTTTTCAAAGCTTGCTTTATATAATTTGAAACATATAGTGAACGATGGTTGGAAAAAATGTTGAGAAGATAAAATGCAGAGAATTTCTAATACGCTTACAAAGTTCACGAGAGTTCACAAAAGCATTATAAAATGTAGATAAATTGCCAGCCATAGATATAAGTGACGTAATGAAACTTATCGGTAATTGAACAAAATAAAATAACAAGTTAAATTATCACTAAAAATACGGTAAAGAGCCCAAACGACCCGACCATCCACTTTGTTGTTTTTCAGAAGTCAATGTACGGTTTATTGCGATAACATTAAATACTTTCAAAAACCATGATTAACTTAACCAAGTAATTCATAGGCATGCTTTTTACCAAGGGACCACATAAGAATTAGCAGCTGTTACAGCGACTGCTTTAATAGCATATTCAAAAATATGAAATGAATTTTTCATTACACGTTTTGATTCACAGTAATGAATTACAGGTTTTTTTTAACAGTAAAAAGCATAAATCTTAAAATAATTTATAAAAAATTTCAAAGCCAAAAAACTTGCCTTCAGTCTACAAATCACTGTTGTTAGAACTGCAAATGCGACCAAAGGGATAACAACGTGATACCATAAACCGATTGATAAAAAAGACAAGATAACGAAAAAACGTGGTAGATTAGGAAAAAAATATAGGAAAAGTGTTGCATGTCCCAGCAATAACCATGATATCGTACCAATAGCTATCAGTTGCAAATGCTAGAATAAATTTCTTTTTTCATAAATTTATCTTTCAAAACTTTTATTGACTCAACTTAAAAAAAATAACAAACAAACAATGAACTTATGTTAAACAGATATTTTATCATCAAACATGGGGAGGTAGTTTATCTTTCTTTGATAATAATGCTTCATATTATTAATGTTATAAATGGATGTTATAAATAGACAAGGTTAAACGTAATCAATAATACTATTGCCTTTTTTTTGAGATTTTACGAAAACAAAGCAAAATCTCATAACAAGTAAATCTCTTTAATGATTGTTACTTCACAAACAATACAATATAAATTATACCGTATTTTTGCAGCCTAATTCAAAATAATTTCTACTCTTATGAAACGTATAAATTACCTTTGTTGTATGATCCATTATAAGACCATTAGTATTAAATGTTAGCACATACTTCGCAAGTTGGATGAGTCGAAAATACAAGAACACACTAAATGGAAGTGTAAAAAGTTCAAATTTGACTGTACTCAACTGACGTGCACGATTGCCTTTCCGATAATCATGGACACTGTTTACCTGCAAATAAGATACGAGATCACAAAATGTAACTGCATACTAAATATAATTTCTCCTAAAAACTTCACGAATTAGATTCTTCTGGAACTCTAAATAGTTTCAGGAATCAAGTACACAAACAATAGATAGAAAAAGCTGCTACATTCTTCATGAAAAGTTTTTTAAAAAAAAATATCATAATCACAGTAATACAACTACCCCAATCAATTTGATCCAGTTATTTTTTATGGAAATTAAATGAAAATGAAGTACAATTACTTTTTTTTTTTAAAAAGAAAATGCGCAACCAGATTTCATCTACTGATAACTTCTAGAATTAACAAAATTTAACGAAGTGAAGAAACTTACACCAAATATTGCCAAACCAAAAATATTTAGAAAAACGATTCCTGCTGCTGAAATGACACTCGAAATGATAACTGGAAAGTGGGCCATTCGTAAATTCATATTCTGCAACCAATAATTCTGCAAAATAAGGACGAAATGATACAAGTTTTTCAATTATAATGACCAGGAAGTGATGGATAGCAAAATGATACACTCACTACGGTAAACAGAAAATTCTGAAAAGTCTAAAAAAGAATTAAGGAAGAACTACGCACAACTAAAGACTATTAAATTCAAAATGAAAATCAAACTTTATAAATTGTAATGCTTGATTGTTTCGATCCGTCATATTATCTAATAAAGGAGATAGATTTACAATTCATCGGATTAGTTGATTGACTACTGAATTTTCATTGTCCTTCCTACGGTGATTTCTATTTCATCTATGATATTATTTCTATCAGCTGACTTCTGCTTCTCGATGAACCTACTGAGAAATCATTATTTAGAATCAATAATTAAGAGTCCGAATTAATACTGACACCACAAGATATCGATGGTCATTTGAAATGAAAATTTTTTCAGCTTTCTATAAATTTCAAGGATAAATGAATACCATAAATTATTCCACTTAAGGATGTCGGGATTGTTTCAGGTCTTAATTGCTCAACTCTTTTAAATTCCTACCATTTTAAATATATTTCCTGCAATGATACAATAAACATGCATAGAAATTAATCCCCATAAGCTTGGCATTCTATCGCCATATTATTTAAAATGAAAATTTAACATACGTTCACATGATATTAAGGAAATTAATTCAAATTAAAATCCCAACGAATTTTATAAAATAAGACTTGCTAGAAGCGCACTTAGAAAATTCCTTAGCATAAAAAACGATTCTCTAAAATTTGATCAAGATTTTATGTACAACAGACACATATTTCACTAAAACAGAAATGTTGTAACTTGCAAATATATAAAGACAGCATTACAATTATATAATTTTAAGACTTTAATATTACGAAAATAATGCAGATGCAAAGAGAAAACATTAATTATTTTTCTGCATCAGACTTCCAAAATACTGCCAAACAGCACAACCGGTAAAAAATCACGTATTAGTTTTTATAAAAAATAAAATAAAATAGAAACATACAAATAGTTAACATGTCAGTACGTATATAACATATAAATAAAACAAAATGTACAAATAGTTACCATGTCAATACATTACCACATAAAAAAATATTCTTATAAAATATTTGTACACGTCATTAAAAAGAAAAAAAAATTTTGTTTATATCATATAATTTACAATCACATGCGTAACGTCAGTAAAGTTATTTCACATAAATTTAACATTTTTACAGGAGGACCCCAGTAATTCACTCCAGATGACACATAAATTTGCGTGTCCCCATTTTTTACTTTGTAATGTCCATATAAAAAATCATTTGTCAGATATGCGAGAAACCATACGATATAAAACTGCCCAGCATGCGTATGTCCTAGAAAAATTTTTTGTACATCTACAGAACAGGTAATTTTTTAACTCATCGTCTGATATTTTTCTCGCATTATTTAATGAGCCAAATTATACGAAAAAAGTATTTCTACTGTAGAATTATGATGAGGAATTTATACCAAGTAATTAATGCAATTTTTTGTACTAATTTTTTGATTTTTTTTATCGAGACTGACCTGATAAAATCAAATCAATTCGCTTCTTAGTACTACGTAGGATTTTAGAGGCACCATTTGGTTGGTGTACCAGTAGTATTACAGGTTGTGTTTCACTACAACTACTCAATGCACGTTCTGCATCCATGTGATGCTCAGGGATCCGAAGTTTCTCTGGAAAAAAAATTACAACAGCATAAAATGTACGACATTATATACACGACCGACAATAATTTTTTTTTTTTTAGCTTTTTTTTTTGCAAAGAAAGGTCACAAAGCCAAATCCATTTAAAAAAAGTAAAAAAAGAAAGAAAACCTTAATTATATGAGTAATTTTGAGGAGAAAAAAATGAAACTTTTAAATAAAACAATCACTAAGGTGAATATACCTGTGAACAAATCATGCACACCAGCAACACAAATACAATCACCGCTATTGGAACAAAGTTTACGATTTTCGTTTCGCAAAACGGTGATGTTGCACTTCGTCGTGAAATAATGCAGCCATTCGTTTATGTCACCATAGTAGTATTCATGATTTCCTGCAAATATTTCTTTTTTATCAAGTAAAAATTTGCATTAATATAAAAGATATTTTAAAAAGAATTCTGCTGTCTATAATTATAAAGCAAAACATAACGCTGAGTAAAGTATTCCTGAGAGTTTGAATGTATTTTTACGAGCATTAAAAAAGAAGATAAACACACCAGTGGTATAATAGACACCATATTTTGACTTCAACTTTGCCAGTGGTAAGGTTGGTTGTACCAGATTTGATAGGAATCCATCAACTAAATCACCCGAAATAGCCACCATATCTGCATGCAACGCATTTGTTTTTGCCACAATTTGTTCGATTCGATTCTGATCAACAGTTGGTCCAATATGAATATCAGTTAGCAAAACAATCGTAAACCCATCAAGTGATGGGGGGAGATCTCGGATTTTCACATTTACCCGATTGACCTAAATAAAATGGGAACAAATTTAAAAATAAAAAAATACTTCCGGGGGCACTACTGCGGTATTTACTCTTGAAAAAGTCTATTTCCACGGTCCATTTCCGATGGAATAAACCTAAATCTTTTGCAGTACTTCTTGATGCAAAAAAAAGAATTTTATTTATCCTTATTTATCTTTGTCCTTATTAATTCCTTATTTATCTTTGTAATCGCAATTCGCATTAATAGAAATGTACGATCAATCGAAATAATATTTTTCTGACGAATACATGCAATAAATTGCATGCAATAAATTTTCTAGAATGACTTACCACTGGTGCTGAACGTGTAACAGCAAAACCAGCACCAGTTAAAAACAGTGCCAGTAGAAGCGATAATACAGTGTTGAATTTTCTAGATTGAAAAACGGCAAGAGATTTTGGCCAGAAATTCCAGCGTGAACTTAGATATTCAATAACTACTAAGAGTATTAGAAAGAAACCCATATGTACATATATTGAGAGACAGATAAAACTGAAGAAAAGCAAAAGTTTTACTGATTACCATATGTAATAAATAAAGAGGTTAGCAACAGTTAAAAAGATATTCATACATAGAAGTCTTCAGGAATTATTACCTCTCAAAAACTACAGAATTAAAATAGATGTTCAGCAATAGTTACTTTACAAATAGAACATCAGTTAACCAAAATTGAAGCACTCTGAACTACGTCCTATTATTCAGCTTATAAAAACACAAAATTTACCAAATGGTAGAAATCATGCTGCCATCTGGCAAATAAATATAAAAAAATAGAAATGAAGCATGCGAAAAAAATATGCTGAGCAGGGTCAAAGTTTTTACCGAATCTTGCAACACAATAGCAATCGGTTGAACCAATCTGAATTCAATCAATTATTAAATTTTAAGATAATATTACGAATTCAAATTTGTAGATCTAAGCAAGCATTTCTGTTCCTATAAGACAAAAGTAAGAAAAACAGTCCGCTTGCAACATATTGTAGAAAAAAAAAAGTTAATCTCTCCATTTATGCGTACTGTTCCATTTTTTTACTTTTTGCCTTCTCCTGTCATTTTTTTAGCTTATTAGGAATACATGTTTACTGGCTGTTAAATTTCAGGTTCATACTCAAACGAAGTTTTAATCAACTGGTTGGCTATGGAAGCGAAAACTAACAATAACATGACAAATTATTCTGAACAACTATCCGCAAGGAAATAGATTAAACGAAATAGTTTATCAGTCAATATCATAGGTTGTCTTTAACGCTCTTTCTGATCATGGCCACTGTGTATTTCAAAAAATTATAAAAAAAAATATAGAATTATCAAGAATTTTTTAACCATTTTATTTTCCTAAAATAAAAATATTAAAATATACTTCACCCTAAAATATTTCATTCAAATTTACCACCATAAGCGCATGTAATTAACACTGCCTTTTACTCTTTATAAAACCCAGCAATAAATCTATCAAAAAACAAGCCTGGCAATGTTGAAATAATACAAATAAATTCAAAAAAAAGAAAAACCTTACTCTTTAACTCTGCCATAGATGATAGATGAGATCACATACATAAGTAGCTGCGCGGAGAACATATCGTGAAACCTGCATAACTGCGCATGATATACACCGTTAGCCCGGATTCTCATTACTGTTAAGCATCCTTGGGCTGCTAACAGTAAAGCAATATATTTCTTATTCTTCCAAAGATAGTTTCTCCTTTCATTTATCATCATCTTTTTCACTTCAAGCTCTAAACAAATAAAGAACAACGCGAAGAATAAAACTTTCCGAATTTGTGAATTCTCACGATCATGCAATGAAAAAAAAAAGATTTAAATATTAAAATTATATTGCAAGAAAGCGCATGCATCGTAAAATATTCAGTTATTTGATAATGTTCCATATAGAAAGATAACGACATGCTACATATCCAATTAATACTTACGTGATGCTAACCTTTCTCCAACACTTCTTGGATTATATCCACTTAAACTTTGACAATATTTTTCACAATTAATTTTAACGCTAATAGAGTAGATCTTGAATAGAAAAAAAAAAAAGAAAAACTATCTTTTGCCGTTTTATTTACACAAAAGCGCAAGCAATTTTCAAGAATTGAAAAAAATTAAAGTTAAAAAAAATTCGTCAATCTAAACGTGCCATGCAATAAAGTTATTATTGTTTAAATTAGAAATTAAAAATTAGTTAAGATTTAAAATTTATCGCCTCTTAATTTTAATTACCAAATGCATTCTCTCAGTTGATTACGATATATATTTCGTCTTTTTTTTTTTAATCTATTATCGTATCATTTATAATCCTCGTCATTTTTTTTTCTTTTTTTGTCCGCTCTCTCTATACGTGCCACTCTTATCACTCTTAATTACTAAAATTCTCTTTACATGTCTATTACAACAAAATAAAAAACTACGACACTAACCCATAACACATCACCCAATCCTTTCCCA